TATATATATATATATATACACGTGTGTGTGTATATATGTGTGTGTATATATCTAGATATAGATGTATCTATATCTAGATATATACACATATATAGATCTAGATATATATCTATATGTGTGTGTGTGTATATACACACACACATACAGAAATGATTTTCCTTTAGGTGACTATGCTCTTCTTGTTTTTCAGGACTCTTTCATTTGTGGGAATGAGCTTATGCCTTGCTTTAATGTTCATTTGCTCTTGGTATTATGCATTAGTTGCTATGCTGATTGCCGGATGCATTTATAAGTACATTGAATATAGAGGGTAAGTAAGAGAAGCGTGTTTTTATTTTGTTTCATGATTATTTTTCTACGGAGTTATAAATTGTAATACACTATGGATACTAAAAAAGAACACATTTGCACTTTGCGAAGGATGTTTTACAAGTAATGTCAGTTTTTGTTAAAAACAAAGAGGACTGTTATAATCGAATGCCTTTTATATTAATATTCGTCCAAGCGGACGAAAGGGAGGTGGAGTTGGTATCCTTCTATCCCAACAATGCACCTTCCAAGTTCTTCCTACACCACCCTCCCTCTTTTGAAGTTCATTGTCTACGTCTGTTTTCCCCAGTTTTGCTCAGGATTGCTATGATTGATCAGCCTCCAGGAACGGTAATGCGCTTCCTTGACAACGTCTCAGCCTGGTTAACCTATTTTCTCTCCACTGAAACACCCACTGTTATTCTTGGTGACTTTAATATCCCTGTTAACGTTAATACACCAGCAACCTCTCAGCTACTCAGCCTAACCACTTCCTTTGGCCTAACTCAATGGACTAACACTTCTACTCTGATGGTAACACACTTGATCTCTTACCGCTGCACTTCTTCCAATCTCACCAACACCCCTTTTCCACTCTGTCTACAACCTTGTCAGTTTCACACTGTCCTTATCATTGAGCCCCTACCACTCCAACCAGCCAACCTTTACCCGCACCTTCATCACTTTAACCCTTCTCTTCTTTACTGTGCAACAGACCACCTTTATGACAAAATCTCAACCTTTTCCTGTCCAGACCTTGCCACTTCTCTCTACAATAACTCACTCTCCTCTTGTGTGGACACACTCGCCCCAGTCACCATTCACAGAATCAGGCCCCATCCACTACAAACTTGGCAGACAGAGGACACTAATAGACTTCGAAGGCATAGTCGTGCTCTTGAACGACTATGGCATAAATACAAATTCATGCTAGACTTCACCCTATATAAACACGCCCTCCGAAAATACAGTACCTGCTTCCACACAGCCAAACAGAACTATTTAGTCAGACTCATTAATACCCTTTCATCCAGTCCCTGTCAACTCTCTTCTACCTTTTAACTCTTCTCTTCCTCCCTCACCACCTCCTCTAACCAACTCACTCACTGCCCAGGAGATTGGCAATCACTTAAAAGACCAGATTAAAGCAATTCGCCATGAGGCCACCACTGTCCAGACATCTGCCACTTTAAATACACCTTGTCTACTACCACATTCAATACTCTCTTCATTTAATCCTGTCACTGCTGACGAAGTAGCTACTCTTTTATCCAACACCCACCTTACTAACTGCCTCTTGGACCCCATCCCTTCACAACTAATCCAGTCACCCTCTAGCTCTCTTCCACAATCTCTTACCCACATCTTCAATTTCTCCCTTTCCACTCACATTGTCCCTACACCCCTAAAACAAGCATTGGTGAACCCCATTTTAAAAAAACGCCCTCAGTGGAGCCCACCAGTCTAAACAATTTGAGACCCATCTCCTTGCTCCCGTTTACCTCCAAACCTCTCGAACGCCTGGTTTACAACTGCCTGAGCAGCCACCTTTACTGCTAACAACCTCATCTACCCCTTTCAATCTGGCTTTCGCCTGCAACACTCCACAGAAATTGCCCTTCCAAAACGAACGACTTACTGCTAAAACCGAGGGCCACTACTCTGTACTCCTACTCCTGGACCTTTCTGCTGCTTTTGACGCGGTTGACCACCCACTCCTCAAATGCCAATCCCTTGGCCTCCAAGACTGTTCTCTCATGGTTCACCTCCTACCTATCCTAGTGCATCTTCAGTGTCGCCTATAACTCTTCTTCCTCCTCTCCTCTTTTTCTTTAATATCCCTGTTAACGTTAATACACCAGCAACCTCTCAGCTACTCAGCCTAACCACTTCCTTTGGCCTAACTCAATGGACTAACACTTCTACTCACTCTGATGGTAACACACTTGATCTCTACCGCTCAGCTCACCCCTTCTATCTCATGACGCATCACTAACCTACTCACTGACTTATCGACATGGATGTCACACCACTTCCTCAAACTAAATCTGTCCAAAACTGAGCTTTTTCCTCCACTCCGTATCCCCTACCCCCGACTTCTCCATCGCAATCAATAGCACTACAATCAGCCCCTCCCATCAAGCCAGGGTGCTCAGAGTAATCCTTGACTCTGAGCTCTCCCTTTAGCCCCACATCCCATCACTATCCAAATCTTGCCGACTCAACCTCCGTAATATTTCCAAATTCGTCCCTTCTTAACAAATGATACCGCAAAGCTTCTAATTCATTCCTTTGTAATATCTCGCCTTGACTACTGTAACTCCCTCTTTGTTGGCCTACCACTAAGCAGGCTATCGCACCGTCAGTCCAATATGAACTCTGCTGCCAGACTCATCCACTTACCAACCAATCAGTGTCCGCCACTCCCCTCTGCTAATCGCTCCACTGGCTCCCAACTCCCAACATACAAAATTCAAAATACTAACAATAAGGTTATTGTTAGTATTTTGAAATTTTATTTGGGGCGGATTTGTAGATGGCTTTGTAGGTACAAAGCCATCTGCAAATCCGCCCCAACCTACACCACCTCATCTCAAAATTTCATCCAAACCGCCCCCTTCGCTTTTCCCAAGACCTCCTGCTCTCTTGTCACCTCCTCGCATTCTCGCCTCGAGGACTTTTCCAGAGTGTCTCCCATTCTCTGGAACTCCCTACCCCTATCCGTACGCTTATCTCCTACTCTGTCCACTTTTAGGCGATCCTTGAAAACTCATCTCTTCAGGGAGGTCCATTACACCCCAATATAACAGCACTTTCAATTTTATTAAATCATCCCACACAATTATTACCTTTTGTATCACTTGCCCCTCCTTATAGATTGTAAGCTATCATGAGCAGGGCCCTCCTACCTCCTGTACTGAAATTGTATAGTTAATTGTATTGTCTCCCTCAATTTTGTAAAGCGTTGCACAAACTGTTGGCACTGTATAAATCCTGTATAATTATACAAATTTTATGGAGACTATGATTAACTGTTAGGGATCCATTTAGATTTTTTTTTACACAATATTCACACAGTTTTCACCCAGGATTAACACATTTACCTAATTGAGTTGTTAGAAAAATGTGTGAATCTTGGGTGAAAGTTGTGTGAAACCATTTATAAATCCCTTCATTTAAATCAATTAAGGTCAAAGGTCTAATATGTCCTTAAGAATTGGTAGTAACCCCTTTTTAAATGTATCACATTTAGAGCTGAAAAAGAATGGGGAGATGGAATACGAGGGCTGTCCTTAAATGCGGCACGCTATGCTTTACTTCGTGTTGAACATGGGACAATGCACACTAAGAATTGGAGGTAAGTTCCTGTATTGTTCTTTTAGAGTTGATACTTGTACAGGTGAAGCTAATTTTGAATACATTTTAAAGCAACCATGTCTCTGAAAAAAATGTCAAACAAAAAGTTCTGTAAATGAGGTTATACTTACCTGGTCAGACATCTGTTTGTGGAAATCTGCTCTTCTGCACTGCAAAGAGACCTGAAAAGTCTTTACATCCAACACACTTTCAGGCGTGTCGGATGCATGTGGCAATCGCTACTACATGTGATTCTTCCTGTTGGCCCCTATGGACACAATAGTGATATAGGGTCCAACAAAAGGAGCCACAGAGCCAGTCATGGACCGCAGGCATCCAAGACATATCCAGGTGTATCCCCCACCCAGAGTCTTTGGGCATCTTTGCAGTAGAACCCAGTGCAAAGACTCCAGAAACAAGTACAACTGCTTTTCTTTTTATAGGTGCTTTTTATTTTACTTATTTTTTACTTATTTTTTTCAGTGACGGGGTCACTTTACCTAAACAATACACTACAGATAAAAAACTTGTAAAATGTATCTTAACATCTATTAAACTTTATATAGCTTGTTTTACAAAGGATGTGACGCAGCAATAACTTTATTTTTTCCTGTTCAATAATCTTTATTGACTTTTTCAAGGAAATTCACTAATTTGGTTGAAGCATTAACAGCTCATTAAAATACATTTGACCTTTTTAAAGATACAAGGTTACAATGAATTATGGTGTGTTCTTACAGATTAGATAGCTAAAGAGTTTAAGCAAGCTATATATCTGTTATTGTTGTAGCATTAAATGGTTGCATGGGTGATACAGCAACAGGTAGATAGCTAAAAGAAAATAGGAGAAGCAGAGAAAAGATGGAGTTAAAGGGAGCCCCAAATAAATGAAATTTTTTGGTTTTGTAATATTTTTAATGTGCATGTCTGGGCAAAATAAAAAACATATGCAGTACATCTCCACAATACATACACATTTCTCCATGTCGTATCCCTTGAACCCCTTCACGACCTGTGACGTACATAGTACGTCACTGGCAGCGGGCCCGTTTAAACAGACTCCCGGCGCCTTTAGCATTTACATTTGTAAACGCGACTGTCGGCTTTACAATAGAAGCGATTCTGGCGACTCAGCTGATCACTTCTACCGGTCAGTAAACTGCCCACCCTCTAAGAAACAAAAAATGATAACTTGTATGGCAGGACCCAGAGCTGCCCCTTGATTGTGGGCCCACTGGTAGTGCACAACAAAAACTCTTCAAAAAACTTGATAACATACAGATTATAATTTTTTGTTTCTTTCCCTTTTTTCTTTTTCTCTCTTTTTGGTCTGTCGTATTTTTGTTAATTTCACCGTACACTCTTTCCATTTCTGCATCCTGTACCCCACATGTCATCTCAGGTTGCATTTTGTTCTCATACATTGCAACAGTGGCATACCATACACCATGGTATACTTATTCACTGTCCACAATACATTACATAATGTTTATATGCCAATATTTACTGTTTCCATGTGCACCAACGCTCGTTCTAAATTGGTTTATGATGTTGCTTTTGTTGCCTTTGTATTAGAGAACAGCCTGTATTACCAACTTTAATGTCTCCTATGCTTATTCCATTACATTTTTAATGCTGCTGGCTTTATTATGCATTATTCCCTGTTTTTAGCCCTAATATTATGGCCGCTGTGGTTGCTAATGAACGCTTCTGAGAACTTTCCCCACCGCTAGAGCCGGAGAGCACGGTCCTCTGTCCCGTTCGGTGCACGTGCCAGGTGACAGAGGCTGTGACTTAAGTGCACACTTCCGCCGCCGCTGGTTAACAGGAAAGGCCCTGCGAACCATACGGCGCTTTCGCTGGTGGACTGGGGTGGAGCCAGCTGGTGGCCCAGCGTCTTGTCAGAAGCCGAACACAGCATGCGCTGGTTACTATTTAAACCGGTGCGCGCTGTGAGTCGTCCGGCATCGGCGTTCTCTCGTCACAGACTTTCAAGCTCTGCCCATTAGTCGCTTACCTTTTAGGGCCTAGTCACCCTTTTGCATTGCCGAAACTCATGCCAACGCACCCTCTCTGTGTGCTGCACGTCTGGTGAGGCATCTCACTTAGTATCTGGTGGTGCAGAGAGTGGAAATTAATATGATGACAGAATTGTCGGGGTAGGAGAAGCATATCACAGACAAAAGAAGTGGAAGAACACCGCATAGAAAGATGGTAAAGGTGGATTCTGTACCTCCTTGCTTTTTTTATTGTATACCATTACTGGTGGCCTTGGCCATTATAATTTTACATTGTTTAGTCTGTTGTAGCCCTGTCTGGTTCACACCACTGTTTTGTCTAGAAAGAATTAAAGTACAATTAAACATTCTGGTTTTTTTTGCATGTACAGTGGGTATAAAAAAGAATCACCCCCCTTTTTAGAATCACATTTTGTTGCTTTGCAGCCTGAATTTATCCAGCTGTATTTACTCAGTGCAACTTATAACATCCAAGTGAAAGATGTCGGGAAAAAAATTCAAAAACAGTTGGAAAAAGGATCACCCCCTTCTGTCAGTATTTTGTTGAACCACCGATTTGCTTTAATTACAGCTTTTAGTCTGTTGGGATATGTCTCTGCTAACTTTGCACATCTAGACTGCAATATTCCACATCTTAATAATAGACTTCACTGTGCTTCTAGGCATTGAAAAAGCCTTTTACTTTTTTTGTATCTATCTCCTGACTTGTGCTTGTCCACAACTTTGTCCCTGAGATTTTTTGACAGTGTCTTGCCACCCAGTCTTGATTGTTTGCTTCAGTTGCACTACTAGGGACTAACATACTCCAGGAAAGCTCTTTTCATGCTGAGCTAATCACAATGACCACAGCTGATCACAGTGAAAGTCAAAGGGCTTTTGATGCCATTGAGAAGGTGATTAGCTACACCTAAATGAGTTTACAAGTCCTTTTTAGGAGGGGGTGATCCTTTTTCCAACTCGGTGACTCTGTTTTTGAATTGTTTTTTGAATTTTTTGTTGTTGTTATATCTTTCACTTGGATGTTATAAGTTGCACATACAGTGTAAATACAGTGTTATAAGTTGTAAATACAGCTGGATAAAACAAAAACTGTGTTTTGTCTTCATTTCAGGCTGCAAAGCAAGAAAGTTTGATTAATTTAATGGGGGGTGATTCTTTTCTATACCCACTGTATCTACTGGTAGCAAGCAGTAGATATTTGCAAAAACATAAATAAAAAAACTTACATGTGTCTCCGCCGCTCACTCCTGTCCGAATATCTGACGATTCTCGAGCGGCCGTAAAGGATCATGGGGCAGGCGCATGCACAGTAGTGATCCTTGGCTGGGAAAAGAAGAGAGACGCAGGGTAAGTCAATGCACACAGCAGGCAGCGTGCACCTGGACAGACACCGTTAGTCCCGAGAAGTCTGTGCTGGATCAGAGACTGGCACCAGTGCTGGAGGGACTTCTGAAAACTACTGCAAAGAAGATGATGATCGGATCAAGAGGCATAATTTAAGGTAAGTCCCTAAAGTAGCATGGGGTGGGGGGAGGAGAGAATGTGACTTTAATGTCACTTTAAGTCCAATTTCTGGGCAAGTTTGCAAATGGAGATCACTATTGAAGTAATTTTAATTATAAATTTCACTCATTGAATCCCATTGATGATACATTTAAAGACATAAACAAATGTATATTGCAGACCTCAGATTTTGGTGTTGCTCAACCTGGATTCAGAGCAGAATGTAAAGCATCCCAGGCTTCTTTCACTAACAACTCAGCTTAAGGCTGGAAAAGGACTGACCATTGTGGGTTCTGTGCTGCAAGGAACATTTCTGGATAAACATGTAGAAGCACAGAAAGGAGAAGAAGTATGTACATTTTGAATATTTATTGTTATCATCAAGTAATACAAATTATTGTAAAACACATAATGAGTTTTGTTTTTGATGGATTACAAAAATATACATTGAATTTACAAAAAAGAAAGAAACAAAGAAATGTTCATGCTACAATTAACAGACTTAATTTTAGTATCAAAATCAGTATGTTTAAAGTAGATCTAAACCCTAACTGCATGACATTTAGTTTGCTAAAGCTCTGGGTATCACAAACATCTGCCCTATTATTTCCTCATAAAATACTGTTTTAATGTTATTTCATATTCTCTGTGTTTCTGTGCTATTGTTCTCCTCAAGCCTTTTGTCAGCTACTTTGTCTACCTGTGCTCACTTCAACCTAAGCTGCACATTATTGCTCTGGACTAGCTTTCTGAATCATGCCTGAGCAATGCGTGTCAGCACGTCCTCTTGTCTGCTCCTCCATGGTATGCGACAATGCAGGAACATGAATGAGAGGCAGTTGTCACTCCATAACAGTAAAGTTATAACAAAGTGATAAGTCCCCTTAGGGCAGGATCACCAGGTAGTATTTGAATGAAAGCTGCCGATTTAAAAAAATTAAATTAAAATAAGAGTTTGGTGATTCGGTTCAGATCCACTTTATTTTATATCAATTGCATTACTGATGTCTGCAGTTACTACGGAGGACTTTTTTTTGCTGTGTTGACAATGTATTATTATATGTATATACATTTTGGATGTAACTTTTATTCACAAGTTACCATGCATTTTAGGATTAGTGCTGCACTAAAGATAATGTTCTGCTATTTTTTTTAAGAATATCCAAGCATTAATGACTGCTGAAAAGACCAAAGGATTCTGTCAGCTAGTTGTTTCATCAAATCTACGTGATGGCATGTCGCATTTGATTCAGTCAGCTGGGCTTGGTGGCATGAAACACAACACTGTTTTAATGGCTTGGCCACAAAGATGGAAACAGCCTAACAACCCTTACGGTTGGAAAAATTTTGTTGGTGAGTATTTTTCACTGTAAGACAATTTTGTCCTTCAATTCAAGTGTTGTGAAGAATTATAATCATAAAAAATTGTGTATGATTTTCAGAGAGGTTATCTTTTCTTGAATGCAGATGTGTGCAGGCAGCCAGGAAAGTTGTTTCACTGCTTTCCTCATATTCATAAGAAAAGCCAACAGAGCTTTCTTTCTCGTCCATTGAGGGACACAGGAATTCACAGACTGTCGGGTTAAACTACTGCCACCTACAGGAGGCTTGGACACTTGCAAATAGGAAAATTGTGGGCCAGACTGGTATAACTCCTCCTACTCCAATGAAGACTACTTCTAGTGTCTTTGGAGGATGGGGGCCTTTTCTCTATTATGCTGACAAAAGTCTAACCTTTTTGCCTGCCAATTCTTTCTTTTAAGATTTTTCTTCAATCAAGATTCCTGCTACATTGCTGCTGAATTGGCCTCTATGTGCAGCCTTTCGTCAGCCTGAAAAAGGCTACCGTACCTAGACCCCGCTGGACTGGATGTTGCAGGGCTAGCCTTGAACATGACTTTTGGGCACTGGGCTCTGCATTGTGGCGCTTTCCAGAGCTGCTTGTACTGTGAAAGTTAGCCGTGGCACAGCCTCAGGTGTAACCCTATCTCTGAAGACTTACTTTTTGAGTAGGCTATTGACTAAAAACTGTAACCTTCCTCATTATTAGGGGGGCACATGAGTGCCATTTTAACTTCCACCACAGAAGGGATTAATGCTAAAGAATTGAGCACTGACGTCATCCGCAAGGTAGAGTGTGGCATGTGCACTCCATGCTCTCTTTCCTACCATTCAGCATGGAAGAAGCACCTTCCAGTTTATATCTGCTGCTCACCTACAGTGGTCACCTTTGGCCGCCTAACTCACTTGCTACCGAGCATCTGGGTCCATGAGTATTCAAGGCATAGCCTTGTACACTGAGCTATTTTGTCCTCCCCTTGTAGTACAACCTTTTGCATCCCTGATACATGGGAGAGAGTCCCGCTGTCCCATGTGCCTCCAGCTGATGCTCTAACACTTTTAGTGCTGCTAGCATTGTGCCTCCTGATGTGCCCGACACCGATGGCCTGGGCTTTCTCCCTATGCTTCAGTCTATGCCATCTTTGGAGTCCTCACTTGCTCCGTTGGGTGTAACACCCTCCTTGGCTCTATCTATTATTTGGACCACATAGTAAATTTGATTGCTGACTCTAACCACAGAGGCCACCAGAGTCGTACCACCCCTTTTACTACAGAACCCTTACTTCATCTGCTTCGGCATTAGCGGCCTCTGAGCCTTAGGCTGCTGACACTCTGTCTGACGCTGTGTCTCTTTAGTCCTTGATGAACGATCCTACACCCAAGGAGTTGCAGGCTTCTGCCATTACTCCTAAACGTTGAGAGACTGCCTTGGCTATTATTGGCTATTATGTTGTACACACCTTGTAGTACAACCTTTTGCATCCCTGACACATGAGTGAGAGTCCCACTGTCCCAGGTGCCTCCACGTGTCTTTCAAGGGACAAAGTCCTCAGATAAATCTTCTTTAGCAAAAGGGGGTGTCCCATTCCCCATTCAGCCCTAGAGAGTGTAATTGCCCCTGTGGCAGAACCATTTTAGAGGTTCTATTCAACCCTATTCGAACCCAAAGGGGGCATTTTGGCCTATCTTGGATCTCAAGGCCCTAAACATCTTCATTCTGGTCCAAACGTTTTGTATGGATTCCTTAGGTCTGTCAGTTTCTTACGCCTTTCTCTGGGTCCCAAGCACTTCTAGTTTGTGGTCTGTCTGGTATTCCACAAGCTGTTGGCTCCTGTACTACCCTTACTGCAATCCCAAAGCATCCCCATTGTGGGATATTTGTACGAGCAAATACTCGATGCAGGTTCTGGTGGGCAACATAACTCAGACTGTCCAGACCTTGTGGAGGTTTGGCTTGGTCTGGAAACTTCAGAAGTCGGCACTGGAACCAACTCATTGTTTTGAATATCTGGGTTTTATGCTAAATACAGCTTTTATTTGTATTCCTTAGGAGTTTTTAGGAGGCTGATGGTAGCCTCCTTCGAGGCAGTCCCATTTGCCTAGTTTCTCTCCTGACCCCTACAATACAATATTCTGTTATCGTGGGACAAATCAGTCCAGTCCTTGGACAGACCAAATCGTCTAGCACTGAAGCAGAGCCGGCGCTACCATAGAGGCAGTACAAGCGGCCGCTTGAGGGCGCTGGTGGGGGAGGGCGGAAAAACACTGCCTCCCATACGCAGGAGCAGCGGTATGGTCGGGGCTCGGATCTTCAGTTTCCTATAGTCTGAGCGCCGCTCCCTGTTCCCCCTGCTGTGTGCTCTCTCCAGAGCCTGCTGGAAGCCTGCACTATCCCAGAAACTGTCACTGCTGGCATATTAACATATAAATGGGCATCAGTATTTGCATATCAATAAGCCATGACTCATTCATATGTAAAGTTCATGGCTAATTGATATGCAAATCACCGCCCCCCGGGGCTCCCACTACTGCATGGCACTCCATGTAAGGAAGGAAGTACCGCCCGCCATGGCTGCTAAGGAAGAAAAAACAGCCTAAGGACTGCAAGAAAAAGGTATGTTTTTAAATATGTGTATGTTCATACAGTTGGGCAAAAAAGTATTTAGTCAGCCACCAATTGTGCAAGTTCTCCCACTTAAAAAGATGAGAGAGGCCTGTAATTGGCATCATAGGTAGACCTCAACTATGAGAGACAAAATGAGAAAACAAATCCAGACAAATCACATTGGCTGATTTGGAACGAATTTATTTACAAATTATGGTGGAAAAAAGGTATTTGGCCAATATCAAAAGGTAATCTCAATACTTTGTTATATATCCTTTGTTGGCAATGACAGAGGTCAAACGTGTCCTGTACGTCCTGTACAAGGTTGGCACACACTGTTGCTGGTATGTTGGCCCATTCCTCTAGAAGGTACAGGTCTGTGAGAGCCAGAACTCTTGCTTGTTTGTAGGTGACCAAATACTTATTTTCCACTATAATTTGCAAATAAATTTGTTCCAAATCAGCCAATGTGATTTGTCTGGATTTGTTTTCTCATTTTGTCTCTCATAGTTGAGGTCTACCTATGATGCCAATTACAGGCCTCTCTCATCTTTTTAAGTGGGAGAACTTGCACAATTGGTGACTGACTAAATACTTTTTTGCCCCACTGTATATTATAATTTAAAAAAATAGTGGTGGAGGGGTATGTACCTTAGTTGTATTGGTAGTCAGTGTGAATACTTTTGTTACATTGGCAGTCAGTGTGAATACTTTCGTTACATTGGCGGTCAGTGAGACTACCTCCATTACATTGGCGGTCACTGTGAATCCCACCTCGACCTAACCACTGAACCATCACATTCTCAAATAATTCATTCCCACAGCTACCTCCTCATGTATCATTTCCCCCTCCTCCTTCAGATTGTAAGCCCTCAGGGGCAGGGCCCTCCTTACCATCTTGTCTTGAATTGTATTGTAACTGTAATGTCTTCCTTATATTGTAAAGCGCTGCGCAAACTGTTGGCGCTATATAAATACTATGTAGTAATAATAATAATACCTCAGTTCCATTGGCGGTCAGTGTATATACCTCCTTTGCATTGCTGATCAGTGTGAATACCTCCGTTACATCGGCGGTCAGTGTAAGGCCTTCTAACATTTTATTACACAGAATTTTTGGTGATGGATCTTAGCGTCCTCCTTCCACGAACTTCCCTCGTTACCCCGCGGTCAACACATATGCCCACGTGATCATAAAGGGTAAATAAAGTTTCTCATGCAGTAATTCGTATTGAATTTATTAAAGGTCCATAAAAAACTTATATGTAAGGTAAAACGTGGGCATATGTGTTGACCGCGGGGTAACAAGGGAAGTTCGTGGAAGGAGGACGCTAAGATCCATCTGAGCACCTGAACGAATGTCGGCTGTCAGTTCGAAGCAAAATGTATGCTGTGAGTGCATACTCATAAGGGGGTGATTTGTGTGGCATGAAGAGATCACGGAGTATGATTTAGCACCTATTTGGACACTTTGTTATTCTTCACCTGGGTATTGATTCCCCCTTTTTTCTTCTGAGGATGTGGAATAAGCCTTTAAAAATTGCTTTGATTTGGTGAATTTATACACGAACTATTAATTTATTTCACATTATCAAGACTTCTCTCACTATATGAATTATGAATTTTGCATTTATTAATGAAGGCATGAATTTATATTTATATAATTTTCACCTATATTTCCCTATTTTTCACTATTAGTTATTATTGATTGGTATTTAATATGTTAATATGTTTAATATGTTTTAGTATTTATTTATTTGTTTATGGGGTATATTGGTTTCTTAGCGCTGTACAGTTGAGATTATATAATTGTAGAACTTTGTTGTTCGTTGGTGTAGCAGAGGTGAGGGTGAATTTATCCATACGCGCAGATTTTAAATTCCTATTGCAGGTCAAAGTAACCTGTCAGTTAAGTGTGAATGATCTCCGAAGCATTCTAATTACAGGCTGAATGCATCTAAAAGCAAGCTGCATTTTCCACTAACACAAGTCCCAAAGGTGTTTTAGTCTATTTACCAATTGGAGAGAGATATTTTATAATATGTATATAAAACATGGACTATGTATGTTGGTATACATATGCACAACCACTTATTTACTATTTGGAATTATTGTTAAAACAAATTAACTCTACCTCCTTGGTTTTAAAGTATTCAGCCTGAAAATTCACTGGGTTTTCTTATTTGATATATCTCTATGTTTGATCCCCTCCAGTTTCTAACCTTGATTTACTATTTCTATTTGTGATTTATTTTAATGGTTTTAAATTGTGTTTTCATGCACTAATTATCGGATAAGTACATAATTGTGAGGTTATGTCTAAGGTTTTGTTTTGTTTTTTATACGTAATCATTTGTAGGTAGTTATGGAGTAATGCTATATCCCATCACTGTTTTTTTACTTTTTTGATTTGGTTGATTGAACATAGCAACTTGTTAGGGGGTTGGTTTTTTAATGTTAATTCATAGGAGCATTGTTAATACACTGTACGCCCCTGCCACTGCAAGCCCAAATGACTAATCATATACACTGTACGTGATCAGTTATTTGGGGCTCTGTAATGCTGGTAACCGCTGAGAATCAGCAGTTAGCTTTCATTCATGAATGCCTCATTATTGAGGCATCCATTAATGCAGGGGTAGCCAAACTCCGGCCCTCCAGCTGTGGTGAAACTACAAATTCCATGATGCATCTCTCTCCGGGAGTCATGTCTGTGGCTGTGAGAATCTTGCAATGCCTCATGGGATTTGTAGTTCCACCACAGCTGGAGGGCCGGAGTTTGGCTACTCCTGCATTAATGAAAGATTTGACCTTTTTCCAGACACCTGATCCCTTTCAGGGATCAGGTGTCTGACAGTGAGAGCAGAGCAATATTTACTGCTCTTGCTCTCACTGTTCGACAGCTGGAATAGACCAGGATTAGGTAATGCCGATGTATACCAGCTTTTTTCTAAATGTTTCAGCAATAGAAACATTTAGCTACATGTTTCTTTTGCTGAAACAATGTTGCAGAGGCTTCTGGTCGTTCTGCAGGATCAACATGTAAGGATCAGTGTCATTAAGGTTATTATTGGTGTTACAATGAAAATCTGCAGCTGAGATGCAGATTTGTTTTTCACCGTAAGGGTTTAAATTTTTTATTTAACCCCCTCGTGACAGTGACGTTCAAAGTATGTCACTGTCAACAAGTGTGACACTTGGCGACACTGACGTATGCCAGGTGACAACTATTAGTTCTCAGCCTAAAACCTAATTTTATTCTGAAAAGTACAGAGGTTTTTCCAAATAAATGAATTTATTTAATGCATTTTTTTAGTTGTGCTATTTTTTCTAAAAAATACTAATAAAACATTTTTTCCTCATTTTTTTTATGTTATTTGTCTTAAGTGAGGTATTAGGGCTATATATTTATATCGCATATGTGTGCCTATCTGACCTCCTAAAAAACAATATATAATGTGTGGGTGCACTTAGTAAGAACGTATTTTACTAACGTGGAAGAATCGCACAGCAAAAATATAAATAGTGCGTCAGTCATTAATGAACAGAAACTAAAAACAAGCTCATGAAGGGGTTAATAATTTATATCCAACACTAGAAGAGGAAGTTTCCGCTTTATAGTATATTTCCACTTTTGCAGCCAAATTGGCATAACTCATAATTTGTATTTGTTACATGTTCCCATTCTCCCATTATAGCATAACTTTAAAAAAAATAAAAATTGCTGCTTATTTTTTTTCTGTAAACTCCAGGACTAATAATCGTTAGTATTATCCTTATTAAATATTACTCACTGTTTTAAGGGGGCTGGGGTAGTTTTGCTAACCTTGTCTGTACTATGCTGGCAGATCTCCATTATCAGTTGTAAACTAGTTGAGCAGGACTCTGTCCTAACAAAGGATTAACAACCATAACTAAATCCTAAAAGGACTAATAAAGGATTAAAGATCTTTTTAGATGAATTAATTAGATGGATGTAGATGAAAAAGTATTCACATGTATCACATACAATTAAATTCACTTAAAATTGAATTTCTTACACCAGATACAGTACGAGATGCTACAACAGCACAGCAAGCATTACTTGTGGCAAAGAACATTGATTCATTTCCTGCTAAACAAGAGCGCTTCAGTGAGGGAAATATTGATATTTGGTGGATTGTTCATGATGGTGGAATGCTAATGCTGCTTCCTTTCTTACTACGCCAACATAAAGTAAGCTGTTTTAAAAGTCAATACTATTCTGTGACATCAGGGAACTTGTAACAGTACCTTGAAAGATATTTAAATGTCTGTAATTATAAACAAAGTCCAAATCCCATTCGCACTGCCGCGGTCCAAAGACCATAAGGTATATGTGGTGCCCAGATGACCACACGGATGGCGCTGTGCAAACACTGGTAGTAAATCAGAGTAATTCATCTGCACACACTTCATAAGTCAGAATTAGTCTGATTTACTACCTGTAATTGTAAACAGTCTCAAAAGAAGCAGGTTTTCTGATTCATAGACCAATTTCCATTAGTAGATTGTTAGCTTATGAATATGTGCCTAGATGATGGCAGTTTTATGCAGCTATATGACATGCTGAGTACAGCACTATAAAAAAACACATGATTTGTTATTGTGTAGGCTGTCTGCTCAGACCTACTGTTGGTTTATTGAAGGGTTGGGAAATGTATTTGATTGGTACTTGAAAATGGTATGCAAGTTTTAAATTACTGGACATTTTTTCTTAACCTGGCTGATTTGATCAGGGCTCGTTCACACCAGATGCAGTCCGTTCACTTTTGCAGCTCCATCCAAAATGCATCACAATGCTTTCCTATGGGAGTTCTGGTGCTCTGTTTACACCAGTGCAGTCTGTTCCGATGCAGTCAGAAAAAATACTGCTGGCCTCGTTTTAGCTGCATTGGATCGCAACAGACTGCATCAAAAATGCATGCAAACGCATCAGAATGGAACGCATCTCAAAAAAAAAAGAAAAGGCAGAATTGGAAGTGCTTTGGCAGGAAGAAGGAAGTGAAATAATGGCCTAATTTGCATTTTGAAAAACAAAACCGCATCGGATTGCGGTAAATCACACTGCAGCTGTGCAGACGCGCACAGTTATGGTGTAAACCAGCCCTAAAAACACTGGTTTAGTAGTTTACAGACAATTTTTATGCAACCTCAGTTGGGTCATCATCTTAATGTCCTTGCCTTCACTGCCAGGCGCAGTTTCAAAAAGATACTGGGGTTACATTTCTCTGTACCGTTGAAAAAAATTAATACATTTTAGCAGCCTTATGTGGGTCTAGCGCTAGAACTGCCAGGGCTCAGTGACACCAGAACAAAGCTCGGGGGCCAAATCAGCCATGAAATGTATGTGATTGTATGTGTGCATTATTTGCTCTTAATGTGGTTCATAAAAGGTTTATCTAACATTTACAAATGTTCAACAAAATATAGGTTTGGAGAAAATGTAGACTGCGGATATTTACTGTTGCCCAAATGGATGATAACAGTATTCAGATGAAAAAAGATCTTCAGATGTTCTTATATCATCTACGTCTTGATGCTGAGGTTGAAGTTGTTGAAATGGTTTGTACTTTTATTTGGGGTTTTTAAATCATATTAAAAGTATAATGTGGGTTAGCTAAATAGGGAATAGCATTCATTCACACTACCCTTCAGTGTTATAATAGGCAGTGATGGTTGTGACTTGGACCTCATTAAGGAATGTTCTTAATAGAGACACATATGTAGAACAGAAGAGCATGTTGCACTCCATGCTGCTGATCAACAGCATACCAGTCAAACATCCACTGAGCTGCCAGACTGCCTTTTTGTAGCTATCAAGGGATGGCAATGAGTCGATATTGCTGGGGTATAAATAGGCATCTGAGCTTGTGTAATTAATAAGGCCTTATAGGCCTGTATTAGTATTGCACACTCCCTTTTGCATTATACTGTATAAATAACTAATTTTAGCCTTGTACGGAAAAGCTATAACAGGTTTCAATCTGATCGTGCAGACTATTAAGATTTTTTGAGAGACGTATTTTGTACTATCAACCTAAGCATAACAGATGGCAAATAAAAGAAAATACATTTGTTTTCAAAAATTATTTTGCCATTCGTGGCCAACTCTACTTAGCTTAGAGCTAATCAAAACATTCCACCTTATTCTGTACACTTCTTTTAGATTACACAATTAACAGAAGTTTACATTACTATAACAACCAACAGACCAGCCAGCAAATGTTCCACTATATTCAGCAGATAGCATTTTGTTTATGTATTGTCACACTTATTCCTTAACCGTTTCCCTGCTACTGACGTATGGCATACGGCGGAACACAGCCTGACACATCAGTATGCCATGCTTCCGTAGCTTTTACTGTTCTGCTATAAGCTCATGGTCGCTAAAGCTTATATCAGAGCAGTTCCCCTGAGCAGGTCCCCTTTAAATTAATAGCGCCCCCCGGCAACGCAACCGGCCACCGCAGCCTATCCTCCCCATCTGGAGCCACTCCAGGCTGGGATCTGCTTCTCCTCGGATCCCTGCTGCTCTCCCCTGCTTGTATGGGCTGAGGCAGCGGGACTCCATGCAGAATGCATGTTCAGGATGGCCAAGCTGCAGCGAGGAGATCAAAGCCGCTGGCTCTCAAATCCTTTATCGCCAGCGGCTCTGTGTGATCCGTGGCCGAGCGGGTCGGATGGCCAAGTAGAGGATCGGTAAATATCTTTGATATTTACCCATCCTCTGTGCAGAGCAAACATTGGAGTGATCAGCTCCAATGTTTGTAAACAACAGGGGACACATAATACTATGTGTCCCCAGTTATGAATGAAGAGGAAGTGCTTTACATCACTTCCTCTTCATTCATGAGTTTCTCAGTGGGTGGAATCCTAATTACAAAGGCTTCTGATGAACGTAAATGTTTTACTATCATCAGTTATGAATGGGAAGCCTCTATACTGAGTGCTTTCCATCCATTTAGTGCTGAGGCCGCAGAAAAAGAGATTGAGGACTCTGTGTCCTCAATTTCTCTTTCTATTTCCTAATATTTCCCCGACCCCCCCCCCTCAACAGTAAAAAAATAATTAAATAAAAATAAATGTAAAAAAATAAAGCACAAACCCCCGCCTCACCCCAAACACACACACACACATAACATACATGTGCACCATATTGTGGTGTACACCATGCACATGCACTGTGGTGCGTTGTTAGAACACATCACAGTGCTTGATTGTTTTTTTTCTTTGTCTTTTTAAAACATTAGTGTAACTGTGTTGCCATATGTTGTGATACGCTGTGTTGCAATTAAATGTACGCCTGTATCATTTTATCACACCAACACAGCGCACAACATAAGTCGCTTATTTAGAGTTTTGCTTTGCTTTTTTTTTACCGTTTCACAAAAAGGTGAATTTAAAATTTACAAATATTTGTTATTTAACTCAATACAGTTTTATCTTTTTTATATTTAGTGGGAAAAGTATTTTTTTGTGCGCTGATACTGATTTTAGTGTGCTTTATCAATTAGATTCTGTATTTTTATCAGTTTAATATTGATTTGATAAACATTTGCACAAATATCGTAGGACCTCCTACAAAATTAGTAGCACCATCTTTTTATTCTACCGGGCCTGCGCTTTAAAAAAATATACGGTTTTGGGGGTCTTTTACAAACGCTAGCAACACGGCAATAGAAGATCAAAAAAATGGGAAAATTGCAAAAATGGTGTGGCCAGCTGAGGTGTAAAGCGTTCCAGAGGGCTTGGCAGCGAAAGGGTTAAACTGCACAAATGGTATGACATGGTTGTACCGAATGCTATAACCCTTGGCAACCAGTCAGTGTTCCACATTTGATTTCAGCATTGACTCCACACTGTAGTCAGCTAACATGATGTCTGATTGCTATTGGTTACTGCACTTTGCACATTTTAATTGCTCAGCACTGCTATATTGCTTCTATTCATGTTCTCTTTGGTGGGAAGTGAGAGTTCCTGAAGGTTCGGATCACTGTGCACCATTAAGAATTACCCGTTTAAGGAAAAGGCATGCCTTTTACAATAAAAAGGGCAAGAATGCATTTTAATCAATAACAGTTAATCAAAAATAAGATTTATTAATGTTTATTTCTTAATTGTACTTTGTAATTGGTTTCTGGAACAGAAATTACAGCTCAATTAACAGATGTATATTTTAAGAATACAGTATAGTATTTACATGTAATTTACAATGTTATTGTTTTTTTCCATAGATTGAAAATGATATATCTGCATTTACATATGAGAAGACTTTGATGATGGAGCAAAGATCTCAAATGCTAAAGCAAATGCAACTGTCTAAGAATGAAAGAGAAAGAGAGGTAAAGTGTTGTAGTTAAAATGTTATGATGTTCCAGAAGGTGCATTAGAGTCTTTTTGTTTTTAAAGTGTAGTTCCACTTTTGCAGCCAAATTTGGATCATCTACTTTTTTTCCCTGACAGCTTCATGGCAGCACACAAATGGGATGGCCCCGCCTCCCTACCAATCTGATAGGAGCCTAACTCATAAATTTGAGCAACCCACAACCCCCTTTTTTCCTCCTCCTACTACTGATGGAGGCGGGTTGTTGCTTACCTGAGGTAAATGTCCTCTGGCCGTCCGCCCAAGGTATGGGTGTAGTCCCCTTGTTTCGTCCAAATGACCATGATGGGGGAACCTCGCTGCTGGGATCCGAGGTTGTCAAAATTCACCAGTAAATCTGGGGTATGAGAGGCGGTTGGCATGTCCCCTGGTACCGGTGCTGTACATGGCGTCCTATGTAGTGCCCTGTGTATCGGCGGCGGTGTCTGCTCGGTATTCTGCCCATGAGACTCCTGCTGCTGTCTGCTGACCTGCTGCCCTATGTTGAGGTACAGTGTAACCTACTTATATGTAGTGGGGTACCGTTTGGCTGTCTTACTGATCTTCTGAAATGTCTTATGTATAGTATGCCTTCTGATCTGCCAACCCCTCCTCAAGACCAGCACATGCAAAGAAGGTAAGCGACTTCCTGCGATGTGTTTTTACTTCCTGCTACAGTTGCCCCTGGCAACCTTAAGTTTTTTTATTTTGTTTTTTCTCAGCCCATCTAGATCGTGCACTGGATACTCCAGATCCTGGCATGGCAATCGCCATTCCTCTTCCTCGTCAAGACATCGGTCTCCCTCCTAGGGACAGAGGTGCTTCCACTAGCCGTTCCCAGGCATATCGGGACAAGCCCCAGTCCAGGGAACACCCACGTTCCTCTACTGGTCATCCTTCCAGAGGTGGGCATCCGAGGTCAGATCAATGCTGGATCTGTCTTGGCCCTACCGGGTAAGACTGCTTGTGCCATTTGTTTCTCTGAAGCTACCAAGGACAGGGAAGGAGAGAATTTACAAATTATCTCCCTTATGAAGCAAGCCTTCCAAGAATCTTTACAGGACTTTGCCTCTACTTCCCAACCGGCTGATCGGCAGAGGGCAGTTGCGGCAGAAGCCACCAGCAGGCCTGCCATGCTAAACCCCTCCTCCGAAGCCCCAGATGATCCGGGCGCTTCTGCTTCTGAACCCTCTTATGGGGGTGAGGAGGATCAGTCTGAAGGTTTTGACTTTTCTATGGTCCAGCCATTTATTAAAGCGGTGAAACAGGCTCTTTTTTGGGAGGACGGGGCGGCGGAGCCGGGCAGAAAAATGAAGTTTTTCAAGAATATCCGGAAAGAGGCAGGTGGCTTCCCTTTCTTTGAGGAAATTAAGGATATTATTTTCCATGAGTGGGAACAGATGGATCGTGCTTCAAGTCTCCGAAATCGTTTTTCCAAATTATACCCGTTTAAAAAGGAAGAGGTGAAATACCTGGACGAATCTCCGGTGGTGGATGCTGCCTTAATGAGGCTAGCAAGGCATGTGACCCTGCCGTTGGATGATGCAGTCTCGTTCTGAGATGTTTTGGAAAGACTCATTGATCTAGATCTGAAGAAGATCTACCTATCGGCAGCGGGAAGCTGTAAACCAGCTGTGGCCCTGACCGCTACCTCTAAGGCTCTGGAAGTTTGGGCCGCAAATACAGAATTGGCCGTGTCTGATGATCTCGGGAAACCTGAGATACTGGAAAATCTGAGGCAGGTAAAACTTGCCTCAGCCTTTGTCGCAGAGGCAGCTATTGATCTTGTGCGGTCGATGGCAAGAATCATTCTCTACTCGGTGATGGGTAGAAGAGCTCTCTGGCTCAGGCCATGGGTGGCTGATCCCACGTCGAAGCAGGGATGTAAGATCCCTTTCGAGAGGCAATCCCTCTTCAGGAACAAGCTGGAGATGGCTATATCCGAAGCGACAGGTTTAAAGTCCAGCTTTATTCCGCAAGATAGGCGACTGCTGCGCCAGCGAAACCCACGATTTAAGGGTGGTCAGCAATCTGCCTTTAAGGACACACGTTCTTACAAGCCTGGTAGGGAGTACCGCAGGCCTTGGAAAGGCGCAGCTGGAGGTGCCAATGCTAAGAAGACTGCACCCAAACCTGCGCAGGGGGCACAGAAGTCTTTTTGAAATTTTGCATGCTCAGGTTTGCCACGTGGGAGCCAGGCTATCTGGGTTCCGACAGATCTGGGCTGACCACATCAAGGACCGGTGGGTAGTTACTACCATCTCGGGAGGCCACGCGTGGAGATTCCGCAAGACCCCTCGCACCCGATTTGTTCCCACACGTCTTCCATCTTTGAGAGAAGAGAGGGACGTGCTGAGGGTTTACGTTCAGTCCCTGTTGACACAGGGGGTGGTGGTGGAGGTGCCAGCACAGGAACCCTTTCGGTGCGTTTATTCCCCTTTATTTCTGGTCCAAAAGAAGACTGGAAATTGGAGGCCAGTTATAGACCTCCGGCATCTCAACCATCATGTTCTAAAGGAACATTTCAAGATGGAGTCACTGCAAACCATATTGAAGGTTGTGCGGCCCAAGGATTGAATGGTGTCGATAGATTTAAAAGACGCTTACTATCATGTACCCATGCATCCATGATATCACCAGTTTCTACATTTTGCAGTGGCACAACTGCACTTACAATTCGTCTGCCTGCCTTTTCGGCTTAACGGCGTCTCCTCGGATTTTCACCAAAATTCTTCTCGCCCTAGTCGCGTTACTTCGGGAACAGGGTGTGCGAATGTATCACTATCTGGACGATGTCCTGCTACTTGGTCAGGATCAAGAGCAGCTGCTTTGTCACAGACAACTTGTTCTGTCGACTTTCAAGGACTTCGGATGGCTTATCAACATGGAAAAGAGTCATCTGTTGCCGACTCAAGACCTGGTGTACTTGGGTGCTCGCATAAACACTGCCGAAGCCTCCGTGTCTTTACCTCCGGAGAAGATTCCAGCCATTCGCAGCCGGATCACGGCTGCTCTATCTCTGACCTTCATGACGGCCAGACAATGTCTGCGGGTGGTCGGCACAATGATTGCGGTAACCCCTATGGTGAAGTGGGCGCAGTGGAGAGCCCAGGATTTCCAAGTGGGGTTTCTGAACCGCTGGTCCACGGAGATTCTGGATCAGAAAATCCGGTTGAGCTCGTCACTGAAGGAGAGCTTGAATTGGTGGCTCCAGGATCTCAACCTTTTGCGCTGCCACTCCCTTATGCCGGTGAAATGGGTGATAGTCACCTCGAATGCCAGCGAGCAAGGATGGGGAGCTGTTTGCCTGGACCAAGTGGCCCACGGGAGATGGTCGTTTTCCTGCGGCAGGAGTATCCAACATCCTGGAACTCAGGGCAGCCCTCCTGGCATTCAAGTCCCTCCTCAAGGGCTGCTCAGTGAAGTTGAGAATGGACAATATGTTGACTGTGGTATATGTCCGAAGACAAGGCGGTACTCGCAGCTACACACTCCTGAGGGAAGTTGCTCCGATCATGAGGTGGGCTCATGAGAACCTAAGTCTCCTGTCGGCTGTGTATATCTCAGGTCCTGCCAACGTGCAAGCGGACTTCCTCTCCCGGACGGGCTTCGACAACAACGAGTGGGCCCTCTCTACAGGGTGTTTCAAGAAGCTGGCAGTATTCTCCTCAAGGTTCCCATGCCCCCAGGCGGTGGGGGTGGATGCGCTGGAATGGAGGTTCGAGACGGCATACGCATTTCCACCAGTGCCTCTTATTCTCAGTTTCCTGCAGAGGGAGGATGTCACTGTGTTAGCAGTGATTCCGAATTGGCCGGGAAATGTCGGTGAGAGAGCCTTATCCTACCACTGCAGGAGGACCTGCTGACGCAGGGTCCATTAGTCCATCCAGCGCCCGAGAGACATGGATCTTGAAAGGAGGCGACTACTGCTCAGAGAGTGTGATTTCCACTTTGCTTAAAGCCTGGAAGGCCAGCACCAACAGGTCCTATAGCAGGATATGGTCCAAATTTAGGGACTTTGCGGAGTTGCAAGGTTTCCCTCCAGAATCGCCCCAGGTGGCTCACATACTGGAGTTCCTACAGAAGGGGTTGGAGATGAGTCTGAGCTCGAGCACTCTTAAAGGCCATATATCGGCACTGTCGGCCTTCACTGGAACACAGTGGGCGTTTGAACCCTTGGTTATTAAGTTCTTCAAGGCGGTGGTTCGCATTAAACCTCCTAGGAAGCCGTTGGTTCCCAAGTGGACCTCCCTCTGGTCTTGGATTTTCTAGCATCGGATGCGTTTGGAAAACAAGCATCTCTCTGGTATCTTGAAAACGGCGTTTCTAGTGGCGGTCTCGTCGGCCAGAAGAGTATCAGAAATCGCAGCCCTGGGATGCAATGAGCCCTTCACGGTTTTTATGGCTGACCGGGTCGTCCTGATCCCCATGTTGGGGTTTGTGCCAAAGGTGGCCTCTCGATTTCATCTTCAACAAGACATTGTGCTCCCTAATATCTCCTCAGACTCCGATGATCGGATTGCCAGGTTAGATGTGGGAAACTGCCTGAGGTCATACCTGAAGGCTACGGAAGGGATCAGAACTACAGATCATTTGTTCGTTGTCCCGTCTGGGGCAAGAAAAGGTTGCATGGCATCCACTAGGACTATTGCTTCATGGTTGGTGAAGACAATCACCTTGGCCTATGGTTCTAGGGGGTTGGCAGCTCCTGGGCCGACAACGGCGCATTCAACTCGCAGCGTTTTGGCCTTCTGGCAGCAGCAGGCCGGGTTTCGCCTGAGGCATTATTGCATTGAACCCGCTGCACTGACCACTCTGGATTTTGGTCGTACTGATATTGCCTCTTTGGCTTCTGTACCTGATTAAACTTTTCCTCCATATGTTTACCCTCCCTGGTGTCTAGTTATTCCCATTTGTGTGCTGCCATGGAGCTGTCAGGGAAAACAGGAAAATTGTATTTCATACTTACCGCAATTTTCC